GGTGTCGGCGGTCACACAACGGGGAGGGGTTGGGAAACCGGGCGTCTGCTTGGGGCGGGGGCGGGCAAGATGGTCTTGTCATCCAGCGGGAGTATTTTCACAGCGTTCCGCTGTAAAAGCTCTTGGTTTCAGTTACTGTAATATTCCCTTCCTAACACGAAAAGCTGCCACGTTGCAGGCAAAACGTATTCCCGGGGTGTCCAGAAACGCTCCTGGCTACAGCCCCATGAACACTGAAAGACGAGAGCCCTTCAGCACAGGCTGCAGCGTAACTCATCCTTTCAGCCCAACTAGGACAACTTCTGGCAGGGAGGGTAGCATATAAGTGGTAGTTTTTTTCATAATGGAGAAGAGGCAAAATATAAATGTGACACAGTTAAAAGCTTGTATCCTGGCTTACTTACATAGCATTTGGCACTTCTATTTAAGCATGATAAATTTCTGTTCCTCGTTTTATCTCAGATAGTTACAGCAGGAAATAAGCTCTGTAAGACTGGAACATCCAATGCTATTGTAATATTTTTTTTCCTGTGTTTTAGGAAGCTTTGTGCAAGAGCGAAAGAGCTCGAGTTATGGAAAAACAGAAGTATGCTCCGGTATGGACGCTCAGGAAGAACCCACCACCTGACTGGTATCTTCCACTTGACCAAGACAAACCAAATTAGCAAGACTGTTTTGCTGTGTTTGGTCAGTAATGTAATACACAGTGCAGAACTATGCTGGTTTTCTTTCTTCCACCTCATCTTGAAATTATACAAATGTAGCTCTGCCCTGCATACTTTAGTACTCATGCAAAAATACTGAGTTTATTTTTAAAGGGAGAATTGAGGTGCTTAATTTGGTTCTGGTCTCTTACTACTGTCTTACTTTAGGATTTCATCTCAGGAACTCAGCAGGCAACTCCCAAATTAGTGCATATATGATCTAGCACCTCTTGCTAGACAAGGACCTCCTCTCCTACCAGCCGGTGTTGCGCACTTTTAGAACAAGGTCCCCACCCCAGGCCTGCCAGATGGGAGAACAAAAGCAAGCCGGGACTTCTCCCTGCCAGTTCAGGACAATCGTAACCACTGGCATTTAAAAGGCGTTTCCTAGATTCACTATTGTCATGGGTTAAGAGCTTCTCACCTGGTGGGATGATACTGCAAACCCTGAAACTGCAACCCTGCCCCTTTGTGGAACTGCTCTTGAATGGTGGTGTGTGTCCATGACAGTATTCAAAGTTACTACAAAAATAAAGGTTTAAGTGACTGAAGAGAGATCTGTTTTGTTTTAGGGCAAACGCTTAGAAACTTAGTTACTGTACTTACATGGCAATATAAAAAACCCAAAACTTAATTTTGGCTTTGTCACGGTATGTTTTCCATCTGTTTTCCCTCTTACATGCAAAAGTACTTCACTGAAGTCTGAACAGAAAGGCAGTAAACGGTCAGCTGCTACCTCCCTTACAGTACAGACTCTGATGTGATGACTGTGACATTCTTTCCTCATAGCACAGCAATCTTCCAAGTTATGTTTTATGCAGAACAAAAAAAAACCACTCGGGAGCGTATGGAGGGATGAGAGATAAAAGCCCAGAAAGATAAAATACTCTGTAAAATACTACTACTTTGTATTGCTCTAGCATTGCAGAAGTGTAAGGTAGTGTAGTTTTGTTGGGTGTCTTATTACCTAGATAGCTGTTTAAAAAACCCAAACAAACAGATATTTCATTAATATGTTTTTTTACAGTCACATGCCTACAGTATTTTAACCTGCAGAAGAATGGTTTATTCTTACTTCATTCTTTGCTCCTTCAGTCGGCTGAGTAGCTCATGCCAGATGAACAACAAACTCCTCCATCACTGCGTATACACCTTGGTGATATCAACGCATTTTCCTTCAGGAGGATCGTAACCAGGAAGCGGTGGGGTATAATTAGGTCCATCTCTCTCAAAAGGGAAAAGCTCCTCATCTCGTCTGATTGCTGCCTGATACAGCTCCTCCGATTCAAGGCGCAGTTCCTTTAGTGCCTCTTGCTGAGCTTCTACAAGGGTCTGAATTGCTTTCTGTTCTGCCTTATCTTGTTTCTGCTTAAACAAACACCACTTTTTCATAAGTAAAGCTCTTCTTTCAGTCTCCTCAAATGACAGAGGGGGAAGACTTCGCACCCTGATAAAGAATAAGATAACACTGTAATGAAGAAATAGCCTGCACCCCAAAGAGCAAATTTTAAAAAAAAAGCAAAACAAAACAACAGAAAACCTCCACCACCAAACCCAGAGAATACGTTTTATTCATGCAATGTCTGTGAGGTTTTCCATGGTCGTTCCAACAGGAAATTCATGTTACTATTTTTTCAGTACTTTTAGCAGGAGCAAATAAAATTTGCTTTCCACATTTTTGTCCTGCTAGAAGTAGATAAGGTTTTGTACCAAGGCTGGCACTATATTGCAGTTTTGCAGAGAAAGAAGTGTTTCTACCATGAATGCAAGTGCATGGTGAAAGACAGTCTTACCTATTGCTTTCTGAGTACTTAAGTGGTGGCATAAAATCCTCAATTGGAATCATTTCTGGGGCAGCTTTCTCCAACTTTTTAATCTTTTTTTTCATACGATCCTTCTGTGCTTGCTCTCTCTTTACATCCACTTTCTTCTTCTTCTTTGGTTGTGCTCTACAAGGGGAATAATTACATGAATCAAAGAAGATACTTTGTCATTTAATTCAACACCAGCAACTTTCACTTCCACTTTACTTTTCTAAGGACTGTTCCTTCCCATTGCTCAATTTGGTCCCTAATAGAAGTTCCAGCCATTAACTTTATTCAAGTCATGTAATTTCCAGGAGACAGTAATATGTCTTGTGAGATTTTCTGTAGAGAGAACTGTACCTGCCTGAGAAAAGCAACCTCCAATTTTGTGCTGAACATCAGAATGACCTGAGGAAGTTCCACAAATATTGAATTGGAATTGCTTTGCACTAGCTCAGAGCGCAGCAGAGCAGGTGATAGGTTTATCTGCAAATATTCCTGTCATCTCACATCAAAGAAGAGAGTGAGTGGTTTTACACACGCTTTTAAAATTTCCACATTTGGAACCAAATTCAAGGTGCAGATGTTACTCCCCTGTTGTACTTCTCCACACAGATCTGGTGTACCCAGGATAACATATGCCACACTCCACAAACACAAACTAATCCTCACAGTGGACGTGTGGGGGATACCATTCCTGCCTTGCAGATCGAACCACCAACAACTGTGCAAAATAGTCTCTCTGATAGTACCTAATAGCTACCAGGATATTTTAAATCTAGTTGTATCAAAACAAAACATTGATACCAAAAAGTAACATAAACATAAATGCGGGCTGTCTAGTATACCACTTTATAGTAAAGTATTTTCAGTTCAGCTAGGCTTTCATTTCCATTGTTGCTCAAAAGGGAATTCTGGAGCACAGCTTAAATCCAAACAGTTCCAACCACATTCTGTGGTTGAGGAAGCAAATACAACTACACACAAGCATAAAGCGCTAATTGTATAGGTTACCATTAAACTCTCCTCAAGAGGCCAAAGATTCTTAACTACTTTTACATATAGTGACTTAAAAGCAAACATCCATAGTTAAAGTTAATTTGGGCTTGCGAAAATTTGTGTTCCCCTAAGGATGAACACATGTAACTCCATGGAAATTGCACTCACCTCACGGGGAGAGATGCCCTGAGCGCCAGCGGTGAAGTCTGCCAGTGACTTCCTCGGAACAGAACCGTCGGGGGCAGCCAAGAACTTAAGAAGAAAAAGTAACATAAAGCATGAGGAGAAACTGACTTTGATGACCTTGATTCTGCAAAATACAAGAGTTATTTATTAGTCGTAAATGACAATGATGAGTTTCGAATCATCTTTGGCTACTTAATTCATGCCAGTATACAGTGTTTGCCCAGAGATGATAACCTCAAACTCTTCAGCAAGATAACCAAACCCAAAATTTGGGCTGTGCAGTGTTGTGAATCCACAGGGTACCGAGGGGTGAAGCAGATACATTTTTTAAGTCTATGAATAGGTTAGAGTAATTTTATTAAGCACTGATAACGGTCTCTGTGAAGCGTTGATTTTGGAGCAGTAAAACCACCTCCGCTCACGTCCGGAGGAGAGAGAACCGGCCCAGGCGCCCGCGCACCGGCTTCTCAAGGTGCGGAACCAGGCCGCACACACCACGTCCCGCTCCCGACCCCGGAGCGCAGGCCCAGGCCGCAGGGAGCCCCAGGGGAGAGAGGCCCGCCCGGGAAGG